ACATGTGATTATCCAGGACACAGCACAATCTGGTAGAAGAATTTCTAAATCTGTTTCACAGACCCACTGCTCAAGGACACTAAAAAGAACCGTCCAGAGAAGTGGAGGGAGCAGCTGCAAGTAGGCTGGAACACATCCACTTATTTGTGGCACTGGTGACAGTATTAACTATGAAAAGTTGCCAAGATAGGTTTGGGTAAGCGATGAATACGTTTTCAAATCAAACAACCACCAGTGTTCAAAAAGATCTTACCCTTTGGTCTTACCAAATCTACCTAAAGATCATCTCAGAAAAGAGACTATGGCAAGAGTCAGTTTCCTAAAACAGATACCAACTTCCTGGGCCTGATTTTTATGTTCTTTTGTGGCTGAGAATTTTAATCAAAAAATGTCTGGAAGGCAGAAGTACTCAAAAAGGCCAAGAGCACAAACCACCAATAGGTTCCCTGATAAATCACCAAACTCGCCCTATTAAATGTTAATTTCTGTACACACTGCCCTGAGCCTTTGGCTTTGACCCTAGTGAAGGAAGGGAAGTGAGGCTTTTGGTAGGGAAGACAAAAAGAGAGGGCAGCATGATGAGACAGAAGGAAAGGAGAAGTGAAGGGGAATGGACACCATAAATACTGAGAGGTAAAAAGACACTAAAGACAAACTTTGCTAGCAGCCACCTACTATGCATTTTCCCTCTTAGTTACCAAGCCTGTTAATAAAGAAAATATTTTGGGGAATACTATTTAATTAATGCAAACTTAATTATATGAAATATAAACAAAGATTGTGCATGAAAACTAATGAAGCTATAGGTTCCTTGAAAGTTTCTATTCATGTAATGATAGAATTTTTTAAACACAGTTGGGTGCTAATGGCTCACCTATAATCCTAGCAACTTAGGATGTTGAGATCTGATGATCAGGGTGTAATCGGCCTGGGCAGAGAAATCTGATAAATTCTTATCTTCAGGTGATCAGCAAAAAGCTGGAAGTGGAGGTGTGACTCAAGTGGTTAGAGACACAGCCTTGATTGAAAAAGCACAAGGCTATGATTTCAAACACCAGTACCCACACAAAAGATAAAAAATGAAAATGAAAATTTGAAAAGACACAATACTATTTTTTTTAGTCTCGGCTTTACACAGCTCTATTGAAATGAACACTGAAGTAAAACTTGAATATTTTGTTCCTAGTTTTGATTTTCACACTTTGGACAAGTGTCTTAAAGTTAATCACTAATCTTTTATCAGTGTTCCCACTCGTTCAAAGAGCAAATATTTCTAAAGTGATTTTTAAAAAGAGCTATTTTAGGGGTTATGCAATTCTGACTGCACTTTAGAATCACCTGAGATTTTAAAAATAAGTCTGTTGGCCACTGAGATTCTTATTTAATTGGTCTGGTATGGAGCCTTGACATAGATTTAAAAAGGAAACTCCATTGCGATTTTAATGTGTAGCCAAGATAGAAAATCACAGATCTGGGGACAAACAAGTCGTTTAAGGATTCAGGTGGACCTGTTGCAACAATGAGAAGTACAAAATGTCATGTCAAAACCAGCTTTACAATGTCGGAGGGGGGGGAGGGGGGGTATGATTGGGTGGGGGGGAGGGGGGAGGCTGGGAAGGGAGGTGAAGGGTAAACAAAGGAGGAGGCTGCAATGCTTGGTAAGAAATGTATGCATTATCCTGACCATGTAATTGTAACCCCTCTGTACAGTATGTTCTCAAATAAAATAAAATAAAATTTAAAAAAAAAAAACAAAAAACAAAAAACAAAAAAAAAAGAAAATCACAGATCTATTTCATCTTACATATTATGTGATCAGAAAAAAATGCAAAAATCGTTGGTTTGGAAATTTCTCTAATTTAATAATGTCTCTACCTACTGTCTCACCACCCTCAGCAAGATTAATTAACAATTAATAGCTTCTTAGCTATTTTCTCTCCCTCCAAGCTCTTCTCATTCCAATAAACCATTCTATGCTGGTCTAACTAATTAGTGTGGTTCTGAAACATTAACCCTCTGAAAGTCATTTTAAGTGCAGTAATAACAACATAAGCAAATAGAATTGTTTTCATCAAATAGATATGCAGTGCATACAACCTGAAATATGTGCTATAAATCATTTCTTGTATGCCTGCTTTCATTTACACATAATGAATACTGATACTTTTATGTTAAAAAAATATTACCTCCAAATACTTAATGACTACATTTTGTCAAAAAAAAAAAAAAAAAAAAAAACGCAAAGGAATCATCCACAGATATCTCACTCCGATGAAAAAAAGAACAGAACAAGACCTTTCTTTCCTGTCTAATCTTCAAGTATTTGTTCAAAGAACTCATATTCAACCAAGGGAAAAACAGCAAAAATGAAGTGGAATTATTTCAAAAAGTCTAGTGTTATTATAGACACTGCTAAATATTATGATGCAGATTGGAGATGTAATTTAGTATAGAATGCTTAACTGGCATGTTTGAGCCTCTGAGTTCAATACCCAGCAGTGAAAAAAAGTAAATAAGTAATTAAAGGCTTAATGAATGTTTAACAAGATTATGATTTTTTTAGTATTTTTATTGTAAAGATACTGTACAGGAGATTACAGTTACATGAGTAAGCTAATGAGTACATTTCCTATCAAGCATTGTTAACCCCTTCTCAAAATTATGATTTTGGCTTAAGCCTGCATTCTTAGCTACTGGGCATTGCACTTGAGGCCAGCAAGGGCATGAAAGTTTGAGAGACTTGATCTTAACCGATGGCTGGTTGAGGTTTCCAGTGCCTGTCATCTCAATATACAAGGGAAGTTCAATGGCTGGGCACAGAGGCACAGGGCTGTCTTCCTAGCAACGAAGGGAAGAGCAAATAGGAAGATTGCAATCCATGCCAGTCTGGACATAAAAGAGAGACACTATCTTGAAAATAATCACTCAAAAAAGTAACTGGTAGAGTGACTCAAAAGGTAGAGCATGAAGCCTTGAATTCAAACTCTCTTATGGCCAAACTCTCTTATGTGTTGAGGTGTGTTCCAGGAAACAAACTGAAGACATAAATGGCAAAGATTATAATCATGTATGATACTACTCATATTTATGAGAATTATCAAATAAAATAAAAGGAATATAGATGAGAAGACAGAACAAGTACATGGTTTATTTTTTGCATTTAAGGAGCTTTCCATCTTCTTGAGGACAGCAAGAGCCAAACAAAATGAATACACTGTGAAATATGTAATAAAGGTAACAACATGGTCTTTGGAAATTTAAAAAATAAAAAAAAAAAACCAAAAAACTGGAGACTGCTGTGGACCTGGGCCATGGTACCTGGAAAAACCTCTTTAGAAAATCTGGGGCTTGAACAAAGTTAAACAGGTGGAGAAAAGAAGGAAATCTCAAGCATGTAGATAATCTTGTACAAAGATGAGGCGTAAATACAAAAATAAATTTGAGTGACACAAAGAGGTGACCCTGTTGGAAGAAAGATGTTTATGTAGGAGAGTGCAGATACAGATTGCAATAATAACCAAGGAGCATGACAGTGAAAGCCCTGAATGTGGAGCTATGATACTTAAACTCTGTCCTATAGATAGAAGAATTCTGTCTAGGTTATAAAGAACAATAAGAAATACTGCCTCTAATGATGCAATCTGGAGCCATTTTCCTCAAAGCTTTTGAAGAACACATCAAGTAGTATATTTGCCAATACAGTCATTGAACATGTGAATATATTGGAAATTTTGTGTTTATAAAAGAGTAAATATTCAAATGTGCTTTCTGAAACACAAAATAAGGTATGTATCATTTCATAGTTCTTAGGATAATGCCTAAGGAAACCACTGGGTGGAAAGGTTCAATTTTAGGTTTTCCTCTTTTCTTCAGTCTTCTCTATCACATGTATCTAGATTCACTATTTAGTGTGTTGCCCTGAAAATAAGGCCTTTTACTATGTGTCACTATGCATGAATTTACTTAGTGTGTTGTGTCAAAAATGGGTATAAAATATTTTAAAATAATTTTTGCCATGATTTATTCTATTGAAGTTCATGAAACAGACACATAAAAACAAATTTAAAGTTTATATAAAGGAAAAAACTTCACCAAACGAAAGTAGCGAAATTTAGAAGCAGCATTAGTCCAAAAAGTAATAAAGAAAGACAGTGTGTTCATAACAAAAAAAAAAGCCACAACAAAGACTAAGACACAGAATATAGCAAGAACATTACAATAGCCAATTTCTCACCTAAAATAAGCCACTAATCCACAACTCTGTAAGGAGTGGACTTACATTTTTCTCCAAAATGACCAGTAAAATGCGGGGCTCTTTTTCTACAAAAATTAATAGTAACATAACTCAAAACAAGGATAATCTACATCCTAGTTAGTTGTAAGTGATGAATGATTTCATTTGTTACCGCAATAAACATTAATTAACCACCAGTACCTTCATAATAGCAAGGAAATGAAAATTCTTGCTCTTTTAAAGGCATATGTGTCAAGAAAGAAGTCAAGAATAGTTAGGGATGATTAAGCCGCATACAAAATAAGAGCAGAGACAAACCATGATTGTACTGCTGTTATCCTCTGTAAAGGGCTCTGTCATTCTAACAGGCACAGATGCATTTAAGGAGTAGAGATTAGCATTTTATGCATTCTCCATTCCCAAACATACACACCCCCAACACAGGAGCATCGTGTTGAGTCGAGTTGAAAGAAGTGCATTAAGGAAGGTGTCAATGCCTCTCTTCCACCCAAAGTGGCAGAATTAGCTTTAACAACAAGGCTTTAACCCCAAACATCCCACCCGATTTCCTTATTCCTGGATTGCTCCTTACGTTCCCAACACTCAGTTCAGTGAGACTTTGTTCGTCTCACCGCTGCCCCCGCGCACCCGCCCTGACCAGCCCAGTCCAACAACGCAGCCACGCAGCTGCCCACTCCCCCCACCTCCTCCTGGGCCCAGCTTCCCCTCCCCACCCCCACTCGCACTCCCACCCCTGGCCTGTCACCTGCTTGGGTGGTGTCTGTCAGGTCGTAGCCGCTGCCCGGGAAGTCCCGGAGTTTCCTGCCACTGAGGCTCAGGATGCCGGAGTTGCCCGCCTCCTCCAGGGCCCGGTCCAGGCTCCTCACGGTGTGTTGAGGCTGCAGGCTCCCCGGGTTCCACTGCGGCCCATTGGGAAACGGCTGGCCGAAAAGAGTCGGCACCGGGATGGGCACCACCAGGATCCCGCCACTGCCGCCTCCACCTCCCCCTCCGGCCCCACCACCTCCTCCTCCGGCCGCGCTGCTGCCACTGCTGCTTCCACCTCCACCACCACCGCCACCCCCACTGTTACCACCACCTCCCTGACTCGCCGCCATGTTCCTGGGAGAGAGAATAGCCCCCGACAATACTCTCAGCCTGAGCCGCGAGTGTAGGGGGTTCTTAGGACGCATGCGCAGGCTGGGAGCGGGAGGGGGCGAGATATACGGTGGGAAGGAACCAGGGGGCGGGCTGCGAGGTCGTGTTGGGTAGAGACGTTGAGTGTACAATGCTTGCTTTAAGAAATATAGGATGAAAGGAAGGATGCTAAATCCAGGTTCCGCTAGTTTGGGTACCAGAATCTTGGGAGGTGATACCAGGCTAATTGTAAATCGTCTGGATGGTGGGTTTTCAAATCTCTTTAAGTTGTTTCTTCTTCCTTCTGAAAAACAAAAACAGATGCGTGAGACAGGGATGAAAGGAATTTGTATAGAAAGAAAGCATCTCTATAGACTATGAGGAAGCTTACTGAATTTGTTCCAACTGCTTCGAGATCATTAATGAGAGTGAGCACAGACAGAGACGCAGGAGAGTCTTGGGGAGGAAGATTGGGGCGATATTGTGTTTTAGACATTCGTAAATTTTGCTATTGTTTAGAATTCCAAAGTAGGGAAAGACTTTAGATGTTCTCAAGAAAGCCTCGCACTAACACTGGGTCTCAGCCAAAGTACTGCCTCCCAAACTTGGAAGAGTTCTCCCCGTTCTGTTCTATCACTCTTTGAGGTTGAGCCAAGGTCTCCAAAATATCCAGTTTCTTCTCCTCTCTCAGTATTGGATGATAAAAAAAAAAAACCCTTTGATCATCAAGCAATCTTAGAGGTTACTTTTCAAATACAGGTTTTCATGCAAATACAATTCTCAAAAGTCAATTCTAGGTAAATGAAATTAATCAATCCTGGATTTTAGCACCACCTTTACAGAGCCCGAAGATATTTCTAATCTAACCCCAACTTACCTAGCTAATAACATAGGTAGTTGGCCTCTTTCTGCCCTTTACCCACTCCACTGGGGGGTCATAGTTATTCAAATCTTTAACACTAATATTCATTGAATATTACTCAATAAAATAATCAGAATGCTTGAGTATTTTCAGTCACCATTTATCTAAATATTCTACATATCTCATTCACATTACTTTGAATTAAAACTATGTGTCAACAGGCTCGTTTTTATACCCCCCCCCTTTGTCTGCAAATACCAGAGTTTGAACTCAGAACCTTAAACTTGCTCAGCTCGATTGCTCAAGGCTGATGATCTACCACTTGAGTCACAACTCCAGTCACGCTGTTTGCTGGTTAATTGGACATTGGAGTCTCCAGGACTCTTCTTCCTGAGGTGGCTTCAAATTATAATTCGTTAGATCTCAGCCTCCTGAGTAGCTAGGATTACAGGTGTGAACTACCAGGGCCAGCTCAACAATCTCATTTACTTAAAGAAATCTCTGTTACAGGCTATACTTTGTGAAGGAGTATACAGAAGACTGACAATTTGAGTTACTTTGTAGCCCTAATGGCTAATTAAAATGATTATGTTGTGAGAAATTGATTCAGCATATGTATGAACACAGAAGAAACAATACCTGAATCAAACATTACAGTGAACTGGAAAGAATTTTAGTTGCTATTGCAAGTAAAAATTAATCGCTAACATCTACTGCTGTCACAAGTTAATACTGTACTTTATACCTCACCTCCCTTATATTTCAAATAAAATCAAGTATTAATTGAACCTCCAGAGTTGAGAGGGGTGAAAAAGGAAACTAAATTCATTAATCAGATAATATTATGAAAAGAACTATTTTAATAATTAGCCCAGCATACAGCAGTATACCACTTGCCTATCATGTCGGAGTCCCTGTATTCTATCCTCAGCATACAAAAATAAATAAAAATTCTCCAGGGTGTATCCTGTAAAATAAGTATTTTTATTTTTGTATAAGAATAAGTAAAGTAACATATACAAGTTAAAAACACAATACCTGGTATACAGTCATTCATATAATAAATATTTACTGAAAGTTTGCTCTGTGCAAGAGCTATTCTATATGCAAGTATTATCAGGCACTTAAAGATTACACTGCTCTCCCCTTAAAAATAAAAAAATAGGTGGCCACTGGTGACTCACACCTATCTATAATCCTAGCTACTTAGGAGGCTGAGATCTGAGGATCAAGGTATGAAGCTAGCCTGGGCAGGAAAATCTGTGAGACTCTTACCTCCAATAAACTACTCACAAAAAGCCAGAAGTTGAGTTGTACTTCAAGAGGTACAGCACCTAGCCTTGAACAAAAGAAGCTCAGGGCCATAGCCCAGGCCCTGAATTCAAGCCCCAGGACAGACATCAAAACAAAACAAAAACTAAGGAGCTTACAAAATATAAGAACACAAGGAAGACAGTCTATGAATTCACTGACAATTGTGGGTATTGGTACTTTTTTAAACGTCTGTCTATACATACAGAGAATATTTTATGGTAGGTGATTACCACAGAGAATATTTTATGGTAGGTGATTACCATTTTGATGTTATCCCTGAAATGGCACATTAAAGACAATGCTCAGAATTATGCAAGTCAAACTTGAAGACTGAATATTGACAACTAACCAAGACTAGGTGACATATATCAAAGATTATAGAAAGAAAACAGAAGGAGGAATAAGGAATTGTGAACAAAACAAACTCTCTTTTAAAGCATTGACAGACTACAAATATAATTTCTTTTTTTCCCCCCCTACAAATATAATTTCTGATCAAAAGACTTACTTCAAAGATTCCGGGGTAGTTTATAGTCACCAGTATTCCAAACAAACTGTTAGACAATAGTTATAAATAATATAGAGGAGGAAAGACACAATTTTTCTCCAAAACTACAGATTCTCTTTTTAAAGATTAATGAGCTAAAGTACGAGATGTTCTTACCAATGTGCAAATAGAACAAGAATAACACACATTTTAACTTAGGGTCTACAACCAAGTGATGAACTGATGGATAACAGTATAATATGAATTTTATTTTTAATACTAATCAGGAACTAAAGAAGAGGCATAGGGGTTTCTAGTCTCTTCCCCCAAAACACTACCTTAATTAAATATAAATTCAGGGAAGGAACTATGGAAGTAAACTGTATCAGAGCACTTGGATCCCCAATAACTTAAAAAGAAAAAAAAAGCTTAAGTTTATGGAGAGGAAACAATGAAATGGTAATTTTATCATCAAAACATGTATCAGAAATTCTAAAATTATATATATATTAATTTACCTCTTATGGAACTATTCTGCCACTGAGACTGAAAGGAGATACACACTTCTGCTCTCTCCAATCTCAGCACCAGTCCTAAGTCAGAGAATGCTCATGGAACTAAACTGGCAATGATGCTCAGAAATAGGGGAGGGAGGGTCACTTGATCTACCTCCTTCTGGTAACTTGATTGGTAAACTCTTCCAAAAGCTTGGTAACTTAAAAGTGAGCAGGAAACTATCAAAAAAAAAGTTCACAGTGTTCTTTAGAGTAAGCAAAGGGAGATGTTCCAGAAATATTAAGATAGCTCTGTGGTACAGCACTTGATTAGAATATTCCAGAATGTGGTTGATCCCCAATACCACACACACACACACAGCAAAATTGAATATAAGATAAAACAGGTGATTTTCCCACTCTCTTTCACACTCCCTTGAATGTTCTAACTCAGAGGATCTGAGTAGTTCCTGGAAATTATATTTTAAACAACACTTTCAAAGAACCATGAGCATTGTATCCCTAACATAGTTAAGAAGCTTCTTTTTAAATATGGCAATATTATTGATTGTTGTTAATTTTATGTATAATAACATTGCTATTATTAAAGTGTTATAGAGATGGATTACTGTTTCATAATGTTTTGATTTTTAACATTTTAAATAATAATTTATTGTTTTATCATCTTTTTCCTTCTCTCTTCCTTTCTTTCTGGAATTAGAGCCTGAAGCTCTCACTCACATTTTTCTTCTCATTGGTGGCTCTCTACCAAGTCAGTCACAACTCTACTTCTGGGATTTCATTGGTTATTTGCAGATAAGAGCCTCTCAAATTCATTTGCTCTGACTGGCTCTGAATCTCTATCTCCTGAATAACTAGGATTATAGGTGTGAGCCACTGGTGCATTGCTTTATTTATAGAATTTTTTGCTTTCTATCACTCTTCAGGATAATATTAGTTTAATCACACTTAAAATGCGTATCCATTACATGGCAAGTGTGTCTATCTCAAATTTAAAACAGTAAGCATGAGGTCAGAACAACTTCTTTAATATGTAGATTCATTATGACAGATTAAGAAGAATTTATATGACAGATTCATGGCATTATCTTGAAAGCAGTTTCCCTTTGCTTTTTGAACTATTAGTATACATTAACTGCATAAAGAGATTTTACTGTGGTATTTCACACATGTATATATTGTGCTTAGAAGAATTAATGCTCTGAATTGTTCTCAATTGCTAACTTTTTCCATGTCACTTCTTCTGTCCTATTTTTTAACCAAATTTTAGTGGAATTCATTATGCCATCTTCATATACAGACGAAAGGCCCTTCAATATTATTCACCCTCCCCATTATTCCCTACCTTTTTGCTCAGCACCTCCCCCAAGAAAGTCTCATTCACAGTTATATACAGGTTATGGGCTTTTTGTTTTTGTTTGTACAAAATATGCAGCCAAACTGACCTCAAACTCATGATCCTTCTGCTTCAGCTTCCTATGTGCTTGCCTAGAATTGCTGAGACACTGGATTTGATCTCCAATAGTAGAGTGAAAAAGAGAAAAGGGGAAGGGAGAGGGAAAAAGAGAGGAAAAGAGAGAGAGGGAAAGAAAGACTATTGGCTATTAATTTTCTTAGCTTTGCTAGTAAGATTATAAATGGCCAAGTGCAGGTGGTTCATGCTTGTAATCCTCGCTACTCAGGATGCTGAGATCTGATGATCATGGTTCAAAGCCAGCCTGAGTAGAAAACCCACAAGACTTTATTTCCAATAACCACCAAAAAAAAGATAGAAGTGGATCTATGGTCCAAGTGGTAGAGTGC